GGGAAATGTTTAACAAGACCTTGTTATTTGGAATTGATTTGCACACTTTCGGACTTTCCACATATTTTTTCATGACTACACAAATATACTTTTAGATGGGATTCATATACGATAAAATGAGGGCTCCTTATTATTGTTTTTTTTATCATGCTTTATTTTGTTTCTGAAATCTTGTTTATTGATTCTTAAAAATCCACATTATTTGATTTTAAAATTTTGTTTATTAATTCTTAAATCCACCTTATTTGATTTTGAAATCAATGAATTCTATATGGATTCCCAAATTCTACATGAATTCCAAATCCTTAATGGTTTCCTATTAGTGATTAAACTATATGTAATTTTCTAGTTTTTTTTTATGGAAAATTAGGTTAAATAACCAAAAAATAATAAGTAAAAATCTAACAAATTATTTCAAATCTAATGTATAGAACTAGATTTTGACCCACGCCAAGCGTGAGATTAAATGATTAAATATACTTTAATCGATTTTAATATTTAAATGTGTATGACAAAGCATATGATTTCTAATATTTATAAACTTACAAAAATGGTATGCATTGTGGATAAATATAATAAAATAAATTTTTATCGAATATATTTTGATGCCATTAGTTTCAATATTTTTATCTGCAAAATTGATCAAAACATATGAAAATGTTCATTATTTTAATAAATTTTAAGTATAAAATTAATTTTTATTATTCATGTAAATTATAGAGTATGCCACAAATCAGATAATTTTTAGAGTTATATGAATTTATCGGACAACAAACAAAAAATAATATACGTTTTCCAATAATGAAATGTGTAAATATTTGTAAGTGTAGTTATATATATATATATAATAGACTATTGTAGTTAAAATATTTGTATATATCATATTAATCTAAATACATATATCCACAATAAATAATATTGTTAAAAAAAATAAAAAGTTTTTTAATATATATAAAAAAATGATATGGTAAGTCTAAATATTACATTTAGTTGGACTTAGATTTGTAAAATATGTATTAATGGGCTTATGTTTTAAAACTAATAATATGTAGAGATTTTCACCAACGCATATAGTTTTATTTGAAATGTTTTCATTGGTTAATTTAAATTACGTGTTCCTTAAAATCCTCATTTAGTGACACATATGATTTTTCACCTTAGTGTCTCCTCAATTAATATATAGAGGATTATGCCACATATACCCATTTTGGTTATTATCATGTTATCGTAATAAATATTGGAAGTCCGGGTGCTATTGTGGATTCGGAAACACATAATCATGTACCTTCAATTCGAAACAAGATCATTTTGGTATCGCTAATGTGTCATCAACGATTATTGTCCTCACTTAATTTTTGGTGCGGAAATGACCATTAGTTTCTCTTTGTATCGCATTGTTGAACTTCTTCATTGATATAATTTGTTTTGAATCAGTTTCAATAAAATAAAATGTTAAAAAAAAAACCATTTTGATTAGTTCCTTAATTATTCTTTTTTATTATTGAATAGATTAATCTTATCTTTATTTGTTAAGATATTATATATCAAATATTTAAATCTAAATAATTTTATGTAAATAATTTGATTACATAAATAAAATCTAAGTAATTTGATTTCTTCCATAAGTTTTAAATTTATAAGTGTTTCTTTTTTTCAATATAATTCCTTCTAAATTACATTAATTTATTCTACAAAATCCATTTCAATTGGAATTTGGTTATTCAACGTGTACGAAGATTTCTACTGTTGAATGGTTAAAGCGCCCAATTCATAATTAGCGAATTCGTAGGTTCAATTTCTACTAGACATATACCAATGAGACTCTCCAATAAGTATATTGGAATTAGTTATGTGTCAATGGAATCTTCTCATCTATACATAACGAATAGGTGTGGTATATTCATTCATAACATATGAAAGGAGATGTTTTAGGATCGAAAAGCGTTAGAGCTTAAGAACAACATGGACCATGCCAGAATCCTATCTGGAAAGCAAGGGCAGCCACCACAACAAAGTAGAAATCACTACCATCACATAAAAAGAAAAAGAAGGTAAATTTGATCAGTTTCGATATAAGAAATAAAAAGAGGGTCTAAACATATCAAATTGAGCTAAATTTGGTGAGTACATCTCTAACTTTTATATATATATATTTTCATGCAAAACATCTCCATATTTCATTAAATTGTTTAAAAATTAAATTTGTGTTTTCTCAAACTGATTTGTGCATAAATAAATATAACCAATATAACGAGTGGGGTTGTTTGGTTGGACAAAATAGCTCGGATTGAGCCAAAACACTTGACAAATTTTTAAGATTCGTGGATATAGGTCTCAACTGGAGAAAATCGCTTTAAAATTCATGAGAATAAGAAAATATGTTGTTGAAATTGAAGCAACAAACATGTCAAAAAGAAAAAGAGGAAAGCGAAAACCCTAGTCGCCTTCAGTTGACCTCCATTTGAATAAGAGTTAAAAAATCCATATTATTAGTGATTCTCCACATTATTGTAATGAAGTTATAACTGTTGCAATCACAAGAGATACAAGACAACATCTAATATGTAAGAGAAGTGGGATTGGTTGTGATGATGTAAATGTTACTCTCAAAGGTGAGGCCAAACATAATATGATGGGACAGACAAGTGAGATTTGTAGTGATGCTTTAACAGTTGCAATCACAAGTGAGACAAGACCGATACAAATGGGTTGTGAAGATAACAAATGTGATCATATTTGCCATAGGCCACAAGTAGATGTATCATTTAAGTTTTTTATGAAGAAAATTGTCTTTGGCTTTAATAAAGTTGTTAGTGGTAATTTTGGGGATGAACAATTTGCTTCACCAATGATGAAGTTTGCTTCAAATTTTGAAAGTAAAGTTAAACCTCTCAGTTCAGAAGAATCAATCAAACTAATTGCATCTCAGAAGAAGACGACATTCATATGGAAAAAACAAATATTACTAGAGAAGTTGAGCAACGCAAATGCATTAAAAATAAAAATTCATAAATCAAGTCAATAGAGAAAAAAGATTCAGCTGGATTCATTCATATATTACGACATAATAAGATTCATGATGTACTTAACATTCGTGAGAAAGTTCTCAAGGTCATGCGTCTTTTTAGAACAATCTTTAAATAACTAGAAAGGGATAAGACAACATGCCATGCCACGAATAAAACATATCTTGATACACATTTATTATCATAAGAGAGGGAAACAAGTTTATGATGAAAAGATGGTTGGAGTAATCCTTGGAGTTGAAGTTGGAAATGAATTTTAATACAAACGAGAGTTTAACATAATTCGTCTGAATTTCTACTTGTCAGGTGGGATCGATTACATCAACATAGAAGGTTTGGACTTAGCTACTAACATTATACAAACAAAAGATACATTAACCTTAAATATAATATTTTTTTATTTTTAAAAAATATATTATTTTACTACCAAATTGCAAATATATAATATTTTATCAACTCAAAATATTATAATTCACTTAATGAAAATCGTTGACAATGTTTTGTAGAAGGATACTAAATTTTTTTTTTGAACGTCTGACATTCCGTTAAACTTTAAGAATTTGTACATAATCTCTGAAGAAAATTGATGAATACAAAATAAGATGATTTCTTTATTTTTGTATTATCTGAACGAATGCAATTAACTTTGATACAAAATTATGTTTTCTCGTGACCGTTCCTTAATAGATGTCCAACTAGAGATATATTGCTCTCTTGGGAATTTCTGTCTAACTCTTCGTGTTTTCTCTACAATGCATCGACAGAGACAAGGGATCATGTCTTCTTCACTTGTCTATTCTCAATTTCTGTATGGACTAATATGGCCTCCGAGCTAGGATTTCATCTCCTGACAAACTCTTGGGAAGCAACTTTGGATGCTCTAATTGGCTTCATTGGTCCTAAACCTCTAAAATATCTCACTTTATTGGAGTGGCAAGCTTGTACTTACGAACTCTGGCGAGATAGAAATGATAGGTTGGATGGCGGATAAGCTAAGTTTTCACGAATCCTTCTCAAACGCATTGATTTGACAGTGAGAAACTAGATCTCTTCTTTCTGATGACAAAATAACTCATATGCAAGTCTACTCCTTCAATTATGATTCTTTCTCAACTAGCAACCCTTCGTTTCTCTCTTCATCAAGATCTAATCTTGTTACAAGGAAAAACATAGTTCTCTTACTTTGATGGGCTTTTGTCATCAACCTCTATCATTGGTTCGATTTGGTTCTTTGGGCCAAGGCTCATGTACTAGAGTTGATTTTTTGTAAAAACATTAACCACTCTTGCCGCATACAAAATCATCACAAGTGAATCACTTTCTCTTTATGCCACAAGGCATAAGTCTCAAATTTTACTCTTTTGAAAATTATTGATAGCCTGTTCAAATTTTTTTTTTCAATTCCACATTTGAAAAAAAAAACAAATTCATTCGGTTTCTTGCTTCTCCATGCGATCTCAGATTCCCACTTTTTCTATAAAATCAATTTCACATTCACGTGTTTGTTTCAAAAAAATGTAACTTTCTCTATCTGCCACGTGGCATAACCGCATAAGTCTCAAAATTTATTTTATTTTGAAAATTATCGATATCCTATTCAAAAATAAAATCTTTCAATTCCACATTAAAAAAAAAAATTAATTCATTTCTTTGCTTCTCCCTACGATTTTGAATTTTCACTTTTTCAATAAAATTCACTTAACACGCACGTGTTTGTTTCAAAAAAAATGACAACTTTCTCCTTCTGCCACATGGCATAACTGCATGAGTCTCAAATTTATTTTTTTGAAAATTATCGATAGTCTATTCAAAAAATATTCTTTCAATTCCACATAAGTAATAATAATTAATTCGGTTCCTTTATTCTCCCCACGATTTTAGATTCTCACTTTTTTCTATAAAATCCACTTAACACTTATGTGTTTGTTTCAACAAAACTGCAACTTTCTCCTTCTGTCACGTGGCATAAATGCATGAGTTTCAAATTTTATTCTCTTGGAAATTGTCGATAGCCTATTCAAAAAAACTTCTTTCATTTCCACATTAAAAAAAATGGTTACTTGCTTCCCTCCACGATCTTAGATTCTCACTTTTTTCTATAAAATCCACTTAACACTAACGTGTTTGTTTCAACAAAACTTCTTTCAGTTCCACA